GTTTCTGTTAAATACACACACGGGAAGGGCTTTGCCTTTGGTGAATGTGGTGAACCTCAGGATCCTGGCAACTCGTCAGTGTTTCCTAAAAGGTTCTTCAGACAAGCAGCCAGAGCTTGTAAACCTTCCCCGAGTCTGTGAAGTCTCAGCTCCTTGACCTCTTTCTACTCTGACAGTAGAAAATTCCTCAGCTGAGAATTCAGTTCCTTATTGGTTGTTTTATTTTTGGTATTTCTTGGGGTTTTTTCTTTGATGTGTAAGGTTGGTTTTGTTCTGGGAGGGGTAAGGATCTTTCTTTTGGTTTGTGTTTAATATTCTGAAGCACATTTATTGGCTTCTGTCTATCAACTTCCCTCCATTTTCATAGCTCTGAAGTACTTTCAGGTAAATCTTAAGAACAAGGAGTGTTTGAGGAACATACTCAACTGTGATAACCAACTTCACCCTTAAAATGAAAGTCTAACCTTTTTTTTTTTTTTTAATAGGCAGTTTTGCACAGGAAGGTGCAAGAATCCAAGCAACAACTATCCCCGGGCACGCATACATCCCATGAGGAAATTGTCATTCTGGTGCTCTTCCATTTTATGACCAGTTTAAGCTGAACCAGCTAAGAAATAATTGGTTATTAGAGACTCACCTTGCATGGGATTTTCTTGTATATTGTAGTTTCCAAAATAGCATATAGCCAGTATCTATTAAATCTTTTTTTACATACGATTTCAAGGATACCTCTTAGATCATAAGGGACGCTTTTAAGGGATGTTTTAGGACATGGCTCTTGCCAAACCTCCATGTGAAGAGCGCATTTTGCAGCAGCAAAGCCCGGTGGTCTGGTTTGGCTGGCAAGAGTGAGAGAATACTCTGGGGCAAGGGGCTTCAAGCAGTCAAGACTTCTGGAAGCTGAAAGCCTTTTTGGACTTAGGAAAATGAACTATGACATGTCATATTTGTTATGAAATTGAGATGCCAAGGTCATGCAGGAGAAGGAGGTGCAATGCTGATCTCACAAGCTATTCATTTCAAAATAAGCACTGAAGTGGCATATCACCATTTAGGGTACTCTGCTGAAAACTATGTCTCACTGCAGAAAAACAAACGAGACAGTTTTTATCAAAGATGAAATGTAAAACTACACCTCAGGTTTACATGCTTTGGTTTATGACATTTATAATTAAAGAAAGGCATTGCGCTTCTCATTTCAGAGAAAGTGGCACAATTTTTTTTCAGTGTTCCTGGAGGAAAAACCCCCAGCCCCCCAAACGGATGTTTTCAGGATAACAACTTCTTGCAAGAGCATTTTTGGTTGATCAAAGTATTTTTCTTATTTGTTTACTTTTTATTGACTTCCTGTTAATGTTGATATTAAAATGTATTGATTTACTTACATAAGCCTCATAGGATTGAAATCCGAGTAGAAAAGCAATGCTTTTCATTCCAAAATGGTCACAACTGAGTTTGTCACTTCTGTTTTAAGGAACGAGATTTCATTAAGCCTCCTCCAAATATTGTCCTTTCAGTTCGTAGGACGCAGAGACGCACACAGACAGACACACAGGCAGGCACAGACAGACACCC